TACAGACAACGTTAAATTGCACATTACAATATTACTCACTTTTTTACTGGTATCTTTTCATTTTTATCAGTAGTAAGTATAAGCTTGGTATGTGCTTTCAATAAGAACATAGTTGTACTAGTGTTTAATTGAATCAAATTGTACGCCATTTGAAAAAGTTGTTCTGACCAATGTTGTGCTATTTCTGCACGCGTTGTGCAAAAATTAATAAAATTCATATTGACAAAGTCAGAGCCATAACAGATTGTTACAGTTTTATCTTCTAACGAGTCTTGAGAACCCATCGTTACAAGCGATTTCAGCTTTGGATCCTACAGAATAGAATTTTTAATTCGACTATAAATTTATCTTCTCTCTGACACACAAAGCTTAAGACATATAAACAAATGAAGTTCCTAATAATGCCACTACACACTTCAGCGAGAACAAACAAAAAGTTTTATACAATGAACTAACTAAATGTACACAATGCTACATGCAGAAGTATGTCACTTCATTCAAAGTTCTGCTTATTGATTTATAGGAAAACTGATCCAGCTAGGCATGTTATTTCAATGAATACGGAACTGCCTTTATCTACCATTGGTGCTAGTGGTAGTAGGTGTGATAAAAAAAGCAAACTATGTATGGGACATAAAGTAGGTAATGGTCTATTTATAAATTAGTCAATAATTATTATGTGATGATGCTCTGTGCGTCATTGATATAATTATGGAAAAATTAGAATTCTCTTTGATTATTCATTTTTGAGCATTCGTAATTCAGTATTTACTTTATCACCAGTATTTACAATACTACATTACTAGTAAAATGGTTGCTTATGGATACATCAGTAATGGATACATATGCAAACATTCGTTATTGTTAAAAGGAACACAAGTAAAATTAATACCTTTGGTACTTTTGCATATTTTCCTGTGCGAGTATCTCTTATAATTGCTATGTCCAGCATATCCATCTCATTATTTTGATCCACCCAGTGTAAGTAAAAACCATATTTATCCACTTTCAAAGTGACTGGCGTTGCCACCCCAGAATCCTACGATTACATTTGATATTATGAAAGATTTATTTTTGCCGCGTGACTGTTTACTATAATTGATGCATAATGTATTTTGCGATAGCGTCCAAGTTGATGATTTGTATCGGGAAAAGAAAGTGACGCGAGTTATTATCATGGAATTCTAATTCCTTTTTTTTTTGGCGTTGCTAATTAGGAGGAAGCGCCTTTTATGCCTAAAGTGACCTTTTACATTTATACTTTTACTAGCGCTCGACATTAAAACTGTCGATTACCAGCCGTAACATTAAAAATATACTACGAACCTCGTCCCACTTGATAAACTTCTCTCCAGTTTGCAGCTGCTCGGAAACTTCCACCGGCTTTATGTGCATGGTGACACCTGTACCCTTATTGCTTGCCATCCTGACTCCTTGTTATCGCAAAACTTGCGCTGTTCAACACCGAATCTTCTTTATGAACGTAGTGGCAAAGCGATGAGCGGCGTGGAGAACGGCGGTAGCGAATACGCGGACGTTGACCACGAGGATGACGACGATGATGATGATGACGATAGCGGTGGCGACGGCAACGACGACGACGACGACGACGACGATGACGACGACGACGACGAAGACGATGACGACGACGACGACAACGACAACGACGACGATGACGACGATGACGATGACGACGACGACGACTCCAACTCCAACGGTGGTGGCGACGACAATAACAGCAACCACGACGACGACTCCGACGGCGACGACTTCGACGACGACGACGGCGACGACGGCTTCGACGACGACGACGACGACGACGACGACGGCGACGACGTCGACGACATAAGCCTCATTGAGATTTCAAGCATTAGGAGCACCTGGATTACCGTGTTTTGTTCGCCGCTGTTGGTACTAAGGCGAGAGCGACTGTCGCCGTCGTCGTCGTCGTGTTGAGCACACCTCGCGCGTATAAATACACAGGTATATCTTAAGGATGTGCGCTCGACGCGTCCCCGGGAAGTCTGTGAAGGACCTCGAACGTCGAACCCAATCTCTCGCGAGCCGAGTCACGGGTTCAGTCGAATCGTCGCGACTGGACGAAAGTCATCCACGGAGACATTTCATCGACAAGGAAGAGCATGCCGTGATGACGATTGTCCGGAGCACGAATCGGGTCCTTAACCGAACGCGCGCGCGCGCGCGCGCGCACACACATACACGACACGCACGCACACGCACACACACGACAGGACTCGTCAAGAGAGAATGACGAGACAACGATTGAAAACGCGACTAATCACCGATTCTCTGCACGTGTGGTTGGATGTAGCAAGCACTCTCAACAGTCTCAATGCTGTTCTCACGCTCAACCACCCGCTTACTCGTCGTTGATCCAGCACGGCCGCTCGCTCCGAAGCTGCAGCGGCGGCAGCAGCAGCATCATCATCCTCCTTCCGCGCCGAGTATCGCGCCGCACGCCAAAGGCAAGCACCGACAGCACCGCGCCGTCCGCGCGTCGTCAACACCAGGAGGCGCTCTACCGGGAAGACAGCCGCGCGACCGCCGTTCACGCTTCAAAATTCATTTCCACGCCGCGACAATCCACGATCCCCTCGATCGCGACGTCGAAGAGATTCATCAATCATTATTAATTTCTCGCGGCTTAACATCTTTCAATTACAGCGATTTCATCCGATTAACATTAATTTATTTGATTAATTCAAATGGCAGAATTGCTGGAAAGATTATTTTTAGCTGTATAATTCATTGTCCCTGATCTAGTCGATAGTTCTAGTCTGCATTCTAATTTCTTTGAAACAGCAAAAAATTAATTTTATGCATGTCAAAATTATGTATAGGATCTCTTCTTTTTAGTCAAGATTCTTGCATTCATCTTTTTTTTTCTCCAAAGTAGAGAATGAAAAAGGAAAGATAAACCATGCAAAAAGTATTTTAGCTGGAAAGAATCTTGTAGATATTATTTGACAAATAGAGTTCATCTCAGAGTCACTCTCAGCTTCTCTTGAAAACTGATTGAATCGGTTTTTTATTTCTTAATTTCTTAATTTTAGTTAAAATATGCCAAATATGGTTTTTAGTCTTAATTATGAAATTAAAAAAAGTTTTTTTCTCTTTCCGAGAGAAAAAAATTCTTCAAAATTAAACCCATCTAGCATTAATCATTTCCAACAATCATTGCAACACTACACATTCTAATAATATCCTAGTAAACAAGAAACATTTTGGAATATTTCATTAACATTGCAACAACATTTCAGTAATATCGCAGCAACAATTGTTACAACGTTGTAACGTTGCAATTTTCGAAATGTTTCTTGCTTACTGGGATTGCAATAATATTGCAGTAATATAATATTACTGCCGGCTTCTATAT